CTCTCCCAATCAAATTCGCATCGTTCCGAAAATCGCTCACTTCGTTCTTTTTTCATCGTAATCATTATCACCAATAAGTTTTGATCGTCATCATCATTAGTTTCCGTGCTTACATAAATTACTCTTCAATAGATCACCACATTCAACCGGTGGGAATTTTGAAATATTTCGTTTGGTGAAACCGAACCCGAATCTCCCCGGAATATAACGATGTTGCCTGAACAAAAACGTTTAGAAGGGTTCGTTTTCACAGGATAACACCATTCCAGTTCGATGAAATGGATGAGTAGTGTTACTGCTTCAGTATGACTACGTGGTTGATGGTGGTTAGTAATACATGGTGGTTGATATTAGAAGTGGTTAATAATATATGGTGGTTAATATACGGTTAATAATGCAGGATGGTTAAGACATAGTTAATATGTGGTTATATGGCTCTATCGTGAATTACAACAAGACTGCTGTTGTGCCCGCGTGCAACCCCCCTCCTCCCAAAGTAAACAAGTGCTAATCATTCTTTCAGAGGTTATGAAAACAAAATTTCTGGAACGAGCAAGAGGAAGACGTCATAATGAGTAAAGGGTAATCCTGCAGTTTATGTCAAGGAAAAAGAGGGCGTGCTCTAACACACACAGAACACGCCTCAGAACATGCATAACGACATTCTGCCACAACGCTCTCCGCATATTAACAATAGCTTTCTCGAACAATGAGAAGTATTTCAGCTGAAATTAATTCAGTTTTAGTAAGTAAGCATGCTTGCAGATAATTGTGATGCATGCAACGAGGAATGAATCAATGATAAACATTAAATAAGAAATGGGTATAGTTTGGATTCATAGTCCGAATATAATCAATTCACTTGAGGTGAAGAATAGGTCAATTGCAAAGTTATACTCACTGAAATGAAACCAAACTGAAGAGTATTGACCTATTAAGTCAAATGCACGCTAATACCAACTGAAATGAATCCGTGCTGGATAGCATTCACCGTTAGCTTGAATATGGTGATCCTGACATTACTACCCTCTTGTGTACATTGATCAACACAGTTATAGTATATTGAAATGAGCCACTCAGCTACGTGAGATCTCTTCAGAAAATCGTTGATACTACTTGTAATATACAGAATCACCCGGCAACATATACACGACTCGTAACTTATGAGATCCAATGATATTTTGATTGACATGATTTAAAGTTTGATCAATACCTCAATTATCATTCTCAGTGAAGCCTATTGCAAATCTCGCGTCTTTCCTCATTCCCTTAGGTTTAATGACCTCATAGTTTAGGCATGAGCTTACAAGTGTTGTGTGAAACCCTTTCTCGAATATACAAGTGAGATTTGGTATCCTCATCAGAAACGTGGCTGTGGTCAACTAGAAAATAACCTTATTACAATCGCTCTTCATAAACTCACATCAACGAAGACAATGTAAAATATTTTATTTCTTCATTTAATCCGATATTACGATTCATTACGAATTTAGACCTCTCTGTTATCACCATGTCACAAATATTCCCTAGTTTCAGAAAAGTATATAGATTGTTGGGCGATTATGCCTGCCTTTGGAGAAAGAGCTTATTTTCTGAAAGTGTCTAACGTTGATTGGCGACGCTCACTTCAATACACTGGATCTCAATTGATCAATCTGCACATCATTAAAAGGGTCACCATTTTCAAACTATCGCTGTTCTCAAGTTTGCTTAGTAACGTGATCGTTTTTTCACACCGTCGAATTTATCAGATTCACTAGTTTCAGAAAATATTTATGTTATCAGACGATTTTGCTTACTTTAAGAGAATTAGCCGATTTTCTGAAGGTATTTAGCATTGCTTGGGGACGCTCACTTCAATACGTATCTCTATTGATCAATCTGTACATTACTTTTCCTGTACTAGGACTATCGCTGTTCTCAGGTTTGCCCTGTAACGTGGTTGTTTGTTCACATCATCGAATTCGTTAGATTCTCTAGTTTCAGAAAATATCTATGTAATCAGGCGATTTTGCTTACTCCAAAAAGTGTTGATTATTTTTTGACGTCACTTCACGTATCATTCCATTACACTGTATTAGTACTGATCTATATGTACAAGAGTATACGTTCAAGTTTGCACAGCAACATGTCTTTTCCTCTCAACCATCAGATTCTCCAGTTTCTCTAATTTCAGAAAAGCATGGATGTTGTCGGGCGATTTTGTTTGCTACAAGTAATATCAACGTGTGTTGTGGGATGATTTCGCTCACGTTCGGATACTGTCGATCATATTGATATATGCATGGAGAGATACTTTATATTAATCATTCGGCAGTTTTGTTAATGCTGTCCTCAAGTATCTTATTGCTAGAAGGCGATTTGCTCATCAGAGCGATTCGAGTGTTTATAAATTAATTATATTAAACGTCCAGTAATCCTTTCACTTACATCTATTCTTGATTCAAGCTGCTGATGATGTCAATGAAGAGCATCTCACAAAAACGATCAGATATCATTACTTACAATAGACCATATCCTCATGCTCTAGTCTCCAAAAATTCCAAATCCAGGCTTCCTTTTGATAATACAATTTGAAACAGCTAATCAGACATTGAAACTTTTTACAGCGATGTGTTCTCAGTACAACGGAATTTCGCAATAGGCTTCCGGATAAACCACGACAAAAAGCGTCAAGCGATGTCCCATATTTGTAATGCTTTAAACACGCACGTGTACACCTACGCACGCTTGCATTTGGGGCATGACCCTGAGCTTCATAAAACCTCTGCATCTTTGCTCTCTTACATATTCTCGTGCTATTTTCTTTCTTACCAGTCATCGCAATGCTATTTTGACTATTGTGGGCTCGCTACCATAAGCAAGAACCCCACATGTCCATCGATTTTTAGCTCGTCTAAGTCCATCAAGACGGCTTAAATCATTTCAAATTCAGTTACAAAGACTATACAGCTGCTTCCAATTGATTTTTATTTGATTTATTCTTATGAATTTCAATGGTATTCCATTTTTCCTTGATAATCTGGGAGTACTGATCAATACTTCGCGTTATACTCGCTGATAGAGTCAATTCCCTCAAGTTTTTTTTTTTCTATTTCAGCTATTATCCGAAAAAAACCAAAATTTTCCTCAACTCTATTTATTCAACACAAACAAAAGATCCAGGAACTCCATACAGTCACCAGGTTTTGTAAATAACGACATGTGATAAAACTCTCGATTGAAAATGTCCAATCCGAACAGAAACGACGTCTTCGTCCGTGAGGTAAGTGATTCTGTAGTCGGTCTTTCTTTTATCATGACGGATTGTTCACAATAAACAGACGATTGAGTATCATTCTCGATGTGGAGGTTTCATGTTGCATGCTCTAATTTTGAATGTCTATCAATTTATGCCTCATAGCATTTGTTAAACGAATTTCTCTGTTGTAATCCATGAATGCAAAGCGACATTTATTTTCATTGGTTTTCATCAAGATTTCACAAGAAAATAAACAAGCCAAGAGATGAATTCAAATGAACTGATACACAAGTGTCACTCCAAAAACTTTCAGATATTATTTCTTTCAAAATTTCTCATGACAAATATTCATCGGTTTCAAAAGAAAATTGTTTTGAAAGTTGTAACCATTCCAGTGATATCGAGAGTCGTCCATCTGAGCTGAGCTTTGTCATGAACAATCAATCGTAATTTTAACAATGTTCTTGACAATAATCGTGACAATACAACAGTAGTAAAAATGGATATGTATAATTTGGGCTGAGGAAATTGAACGCATGGGCGGGCATTTCAGAAGTTATTAATGTACATTTATAACTGATACTGAAATGAAGCAATAGTTATTGCTACACTTTGGTTGCGATAAGAGTAACTATGTGGTTCAATTTGTTAGAAACTTAACCGCATATTGTCTTTCATGTTAAACCACGAGCAGCAAAGCGCCACTGTTCATCCAGAGCCGGAGCTGGGCCTCATTAAGTCTCAGTTTACGCCATTCACTCAAATTGAGCTTAAATCTGACGGAGGGTTAGCCAAACATCAAATCTGAACCTGTCAAAGCCTCAGCTTTTGGAAATGACGCTCTCACACTCGTGTGCCTGCTAGCAATGTATCAGCATAACTGTGTCCATCCTACAACCCTTCAATCACACGAGCTTTGTCAAACTGTTAGCAAAGTTTTCGGCTTAGGAAAACATGGAGCATATGATCGTAGAAGGTACTAGTGTGTTTTGAAGGAAATTAAACGTTAAGCAGTTAATGCTTCTGCAAACTGAACTGTACAGTTGCCTTAAATGTGATGAGATCATTTGAAACAAGAGCAAAAAACGACTGAATAAATGAATGAAAAAATGAATATTGCAGAACAAATTATAGTGGCACGGCTGATGAGAAATCAAGGCGTATTTGACGTAATCGATGTTGTAATTCATCATCTTCAGCTAAGTGTTCGGACGATGATGATTTTCTGAAGTAATGATACCATCCGAACGAGTTCAGAGTACTGCATTAATCCATCGAAATGTCAACTGATTTAGCAGTCATCAACAAATTTAGCTATCGTAATAAAATTATCGGTGATATTCTGCTGTTGTACTGCATATAGTTGTTAAAATTTTTGTTCCACTCATGCATTGCCGATTAATGCGACCGGTAATAACAGCAGTGATTATGACGATAATAATATTAATTGTAACAGAAATAATTAAAATAATAATAAAATAATAATGGTAATAAAAATTTTTAAAAATAATAATTAATAATAATCAATAATTATAATGATAATAATTAAAATAACAATAATAATAATAAAATAATAATAATAATAATAATAATAATAATAATAGTAATAGTAATAATAATAGTAATAATAATAAATAATAATAATAATCATAATAATAAATAATAATGACAACAATAATAATAGTAATAATAATAAATAATAATAATAATAATAAAGACAAAAATCTGAACGTAGTAAACCTCGAGAATACCCGTGCCTCCCCGTCGAATCCACAACGTAACTCATCTGTGACACAAGCAATCAACGCACGCCATGCCTTACCACCTTCTCGTATTTTCTTCAAATGAAGTCCATCAGGTGAGGATGTGGTGTAATACATTAACCAATAAGTCGCACGAAAATATGCGATTAACTCAAAATATAACAACAATAAGAGTTCCATGATTTCTAAAACCGATTGTTAATCGTAAATAATGAGCATCAAGCACTGCTTCAGACCTGCACAACATCAATGGTTGACAGTGTTTGCATGGCTATTTCGCCGAGATGCTCCCAAATCTCAGCATTAAATGAACAAGTCTGACTGAGCTTGGCATGGTCTTGACCAATCTTTCTTATATGTGATACTGCTTCTCCTTCGTTATCCAAATTAGAGATCAGTTCATCAAAGAAACTGAAAGTTCATTCGTTTGATTGTTCCTTTAATTACCACCACCCATCGATGTTTATCTATAGAATAAACAGTTTGAGAAATTAACGAGAAATGCCCATAAAAATGAATATCAAAATTTTTGCACATGTCAAAGATGCTTTGCAGTGGGATTTTCAAATAAAAACAGCACTTGACAAATATCAAAACAATTCTTTTTACTTCGCCATGAATTTTATATGATCATCAATTGTTCCCGAAGTGGTATTTTCAGATGTATTTTCTCTATTGAACGCGTCCAATACGGCTGCTTTATAAAATATCTGCAAAACGTTTCAGTCACATCTTCTAGAGTGATCTAATTCAAGCCTGCTTTGTATCATGTGTTGGTTTCATAAAGCGTGAAATAAAATACAGAAGATAACCAATTGCTCAACTCCTAAGTGCAGTTATCAATTAACTTACGTGGAACTGAGATGCGAACAGAAAAGGATGTAGAAGATGCATGAATTATAAGTTTGACATTTATGATGAATATATACTTTTTAGACACAGTTTCATTGCTCTGTTCGTTGCTTGCAATAAATCTTGTTCAGTGCAAGAGAGCATCAAAAATTCATTATTTACTTTCAACTTATTACTCAATATTTATGAGGTTTCATTTTCATGAATACTCAATTTTACCTGCTTTACTTTCGGCGTTTCATTCTCTAACGAAACCAAAATTCGACGCATTATTGACGGTGCTTGTGATTTCATTGCTCTCCATGAAACAGTAAGTGCTTGACGTTGAGCAAATGTTATCTTTACATCTAAATAAGGTTCTTTAATTTAAGGAAGCCATCGCCATTGAAATAATACAATTGTGAAAATTTTTACGAAAAGATACATGAATGAAATGAAGGCCATTCATGCAATCGATACTGGAAAATTAAATTCATCTCTGACCCGGTCGATTTCTGATTGATTTGCTACGAGTTGATCTGTTATTTATTCGACTTGACGATCCAGTTTTCCCTGTATTTCAAATTCAGTGTTTCAACTTGTCAATAGAATATTAGTGATTAAAAACAAAGATTATTAAGAGAATTTAAAAGGCGCGTTGAGGTCATATGGTGAGAAATGTGAATGTTATAGACGAGAACAACAATTCTTCATATGAATATACGGGAAGTGTTGATCACGCAATGAGTTCACTTTCTGATTGATGATAAGTTTCGGTTGAAGGACTCAAATTCTGAATTGAGCAAGTGTTTTTCAAACGATCCCATCAACGGATTCGGTGAAATGCCAGAACAGGTGTTCAAATAACGTTCGAGCAAGCAGTTGAATAGGTATGAGCGATGATGTTAATAAATTGACGAAGTGTTTCAGTTAAATATTTAGATAAATACGTAACGTTAAAAAAGGTGACCAATTTGAATTTGAATCAATCGGTGAGTCGAAAGTTTTATAGATTTGTATTTCAATGAATCAACCAATAATTCGACACTGTCGCACAGAAATGCATCAGTTCTCGATAGAAAATAATATGTACATTGTGCAAGAAACATTAACAGAACCATTATGAACAACTAGTAAATGTGATACGGAGAGAATCTAAAAACTAACTAGAAGTTCAAAAATTCCAAACGATTGGCACTGCGAAAAAGGGTGACCTAGTTGTGTATGATGATTAAATGATAACTTGCGAGACAATCGCAACTGAGAATTCAGATGTAGATAATTGCAATTTTTGAGTGATAATTGTAAGTTTTGAGGAGAATCATAAAAATCAATGAATTTTCTTCAATGAATGAAACGACGTTTTTAATGAGAGAAAGATTTATTGCTTTCCATATTCATATTCACACACACTTAAAATTTCCATAAGAAATCACACCAGCTTCTGTTGGACAGACAAGAACATTGTGGAATATTTATGAAATGACCAATAAAGCACCAACGAAGAGCTGAAATAACAGTTTTGCAGATTTTGAATGGTTGACAAAGTGAAATCTGAGAATATGCTCACCTCGCAAAATTTCAACATTTCTTTTGAAGTGTTCCATTGAGAACAATCTGAACAACGTTAGAGCAACATTTTGCAATGTTAACAAGGAACTTACCTCTACACTATGAATTATATTGACTTTAGGTGCAATATTTGTGAACTACGCATTTAGGTGGCAGCTAGTCGGTTTGATGTGCTTTGCTAATGTGCATTAAGAGTGAAAAGAGTGTTTCAGAGATTATAAGGCATGAATGAAATGGGAATATAACAGATTGAAAATTGAATGTGGTACCATCTGATGTGTTCTTTTTTTTTATTTGTTTTTTGCTTTCCGTTAGAGTGCATCAAAGGAAAACAGCGAGAAAGTAACAAATTTTAATGATGATGCCACAATGCAATCCAACCAGTTCACTGTTGAATTATGTTGTCGGGAAGAACGCTGAGAATAAAATCAACTGATAAATTCGCAATAACAATTATTCATTGTGAGCAATTGTTAACGATTGTTCACTGTGAGGAACGAATGAATATTCACTGCTAACAATTACTGGCATTGCACTTACGTTAGCGTACTTCCTCCAAGAAACTCTTCATGTATTAAAACTTTGCAGTTTAATTCACTCAACATGAAACCTTTCTCTGCATAAATGCATCCATCTCCTGTGATCGATCAAATTTGTTTCATCAGATCGAAATTGTCCATTGAGCAAAGCAACTGGTTAATACTGCTAATTGTAAAGAAAGAATAGCTGCAGCAACTTCGATTGTTTCGGTTTCGTGATTTTGACATAAATCATTGACGGACAACATAACAAAATGAACGTAACATTTATTTCTTAACGAAGTGGAACTGTCGACGATTGAAACGATAATTGCACGTTAACGTTAAATGAGCAAATAACGACGGAAACAGTTTGAATTTTACGGAAATTTGACAAAGGCGAACGTAATTGAACTGATGACTGCATAGGAATAACAACAATCCCTTTAGGAGGATCAATCAAATTCATCCGGTTTCGTATTCGATGTTGATTGCGTTGCTATCAACTGGGCAAATTATTTAATAGAAATTGAAAACTAAAACGTTGGTGAATTTCCCAAGAATGACGAGAAATATTCGGAAGATTTATGAAAGCATCAACCTTTTGTACTAAAAACGTCCACACCGGATCAAGCCTTCAAACATCAAAAAAAGTTTGCAGTGGAATAAAGAGTTTAGATCAGTTAAGAAATTCGGTCCACAGCATGGTATCCATCAAGATACAGTTGCTGAAGGTGATGTTGGAGAAATTCAAAGTAGAGAAATTGAACTGCTGCTTTTGAAATGTTTTTGTCTTGGAACTAGGTAAATGAACAACAACAAACGAGGACGAAAACTAACCTTTTGGATAACGCAGTGACTGAGTTCTTCGAAATGAATGGTTCATTGGCATCCTGTAGAAGGCAATAAATATTACATTGCTGCCATCAGGAAACGAAACTCTGAATCAATTAATACGATATGCGCCACGGAAATCCACAGGTTTAAAACCAGAAATGCATTGATTTTCATTATCTCGTTAACACATACAAACAAATTTATTCATTTTTGAATGAGTGGAAACAGTTTCAAAAATGATATAAAAGTTCTGATGTGATGACAAGCAAAAATAATTTCCAAATGATTCAATGATTACATTTGGTAACGTTAACGACACATCACATAATTTGTTCATATCAATGTAAAACTGTCATGACATTTCGGTGAAATATTCAAAAGAAATCCGATAGGCGTATAAAAATAGGAGAAACACAGTCAAGAGCGGATGCAATTGAGTAGTGTAATGGTAAAGATGAATTACGGAGATGATATACTGGAGAGGTACAAACGAATCAAAAGTTTTTGAGAGCGGCTGGAATTGTTTGAGAGTGCGTGATATATAAAATGCTGCTCGAACAGAAATAAATACGTCGGTGTTCATCAAACGAATGAGGGAAGACTGAAGGAAAATCATGAAGAAGATGCAAGATAAAGCATATTATTTTTGTGAACGCATTCATAAATGATTTATCGAGTTAATGAGAAGTGGACTGATGAAATTGCTTTGTTTACGACAAAGATCGAATTTATCGAGTTAATGAGAAGTGGACTGATGAAATTGCTTTGTTTACGACAAAGATCGAAGAAATTTTAACTGGATGAATGTGTGGTTGATGATTGGACTGTTCATTGTTGCGACATCGAATTGTGCGGGAATTTTGGTATAATTAACAAACTGATAATTATTAGTGATTGATGATTTTCCAACGCTTATTGACTTATCGACTGGTGATTATTATTAACAGATGATTATTGACTGTTGTAGATTGATTATTGACTGTTGTAGATTATTGACTGTAGAAAATTTTTAGCTGTTT